ACCTACGCCGGCCTCGAGCTCACAATTTTCCAGCCTCAGTCCCCCAGGCCACTGGGATTCAGGCCCACTCACCATGCCCAGCCCTCGGGTTGGGCAGGGAACTAAACACAGGCCTCCAGGTGGTCCCAACATGTCTTAGAAACATGCATCACCACGGCTGGGCCTCAGAGGACAGAGAAAGACCAAGAGAGAGAGAGAGAGAAAGGAAGCCACCAGGTCCAGGACTCAAACTATGGTCAGCCATGTGGGAATTCCAGCACCCCAACCACCACACCACTTGCTGGCCCCAAGATGTTCCTTTGTTTGTTTTGACGGAGTTGCCACACTGTGATCCTTCCTGCCGCAGCCTCCCAGTAGCTAGGCCCACAGGCACACACCACCACACCAGACTGCCTAGATTAAGCCAGGAACCAAACCTGGGCCTCCCATGTGGCCTCAGCCATTGCAGAGGTCTGTGCGGCCTGTGTCACCATAGACAGATCCTCTTGGTTTTTGTTTTTGAGAGAGATTTTTGCTACAGGGTGTGTGCACTCACTGGAAACATAGAGACATAAAGAGAGAAGATGAGAAATTACCTCCCAGGGAGAATGGCCATGCTGCAAACCATTCTCCTTGGGATTTGGGGCACGCACGCACACGTACCCAGTGTGAGTTTCAGGCTGCTGGTTCTGCAACTCAAGTCGTGGCCGACCATGTAGGAGTCCAGCCCCTTAACCACCATGCCACCTACTGGCCCCCTGACCTTGTAGTTTTAAGAGATTATCCAAGTATTTTTCCCCTCTGGCAGTTTGCAGTAAAAACATTAGAAATTAAAGACATATGGGACCAGCAGGTGGCATGGTGGTTGAGGTGCTAGACACTCCCACATGGCTGACCACGGTTCAAATCTCGGACCTGGCGGCTTGCTTTCTCACTTTCCTCTCTCTCTCCATGTGTGTCTCTCTCTAGTTCTCTAGTAAAATTAAAATAAATGAATGAATAAATAAAATTAAATTAAAAAGAAATTAAAGACATAGGAAAAGTGACATCAGATTTTACCACCAACCTAGGAAATGATGAGACCTCACAGGGACCACCTTCTGAAACTCCCAACTGAGCTTAAGTCTTGGACAATAACCTGTCCTGAATGAGAAAAATCAGACCAAGGTCTATTCTGCCCAACCAGCCCCAAAGGCAAAATGGTTTATCTGGAGTGGACAGCTTACTCTCATTGTCTCCCTTTGCAAGAAAGAAGAAGAGACCCTATTCCCTGTTTGGTCTATCAGGTGTCTCTGCCTCCAGCACTCAGGGAGAGACTCTGCTCTTATGCAGCTAGAGTGCAGGCATCTCAGTCTCCTTGGGCCGAGATCAGGAGGCAGTGCCATGCTGCCATCCCTCTGAGTCCTAAAGGCTGGCACTCACACAGCCAAGGAGAAGCAGAGGTCAGGAGGGACCTTGCTGCTGCTCAGAGAAGAACTGTGAGGCAGTGAAGCTCCAGCCAAGCCAGCATGGTGAGGAGGACATTGGTTTCACCTCAGCCCCACTTCAAGGAGCTCTGCCCCACCAATCAAACCCCACTGCCCACCTTCAGTCTTGAGGGATTTTAGGACCTGAAAAGAGATTTATCACATGCCAAGGCTCCTACATTTATGCCATTCTCTCACAACATCCACCTCCAAAAGTACCAACCACCCAGATGGGGGGTGGCCTTTTTATTTAACATCTCTGAGGCTTCTGAGATCTGCCAGGGACCACTGTAGGCCTTTGGAAAAGCCCTTTGGACCCATGTACTCAGGAAGAACCCACTGCTCCCACAGTGGGCCAAGTCTCCCTCTCTCGGAGCACGCTACTGTTCCTTAAGGACAGCCCAAAATTCCATAATGAAGTCAGTTGAACATGCATCCCCTCTTGGCTAAAGTGTCCTTCAACTCCTAAACCCATTAAAAGAACTAAGCATGAAGTATTCAGAGACGACCAGGCATGGGCCCTGACCCTGAGAGACTCAGTCGGGGAAGGTAAAAGCCAACCTGAATGAGGTGATAAATGCCCAAGAAGGAGTAAAAATGAAGATGAGGTTAAGTCAACCCCCCATGGCTGGATGCCTGGGGAAATCTCGCCAGAGGAGCTGGTGCTTTAATGCAAGCTGGTTCTGGTCAGGATGGAAAACACATCAGGTGTGCACAGGTCCCCAGGATCCCAAAGAGCCAGAGGACTGGGAAAAGGAGTCCCACAATGACAAGACCCACTTTGCAAAGGTGTCCTCCCTTCCCTCTCCCACCTCTCGTGCACGTGCACACCCTCTCCATCATAAGAAAAAAGTCTTGAGGCCAGCCAATGGTGTGGTGGTTAAGGTGGCTGGATCTCACATGGCTGACTACACCATTTCTGGTCCCAGACCCAGTGGCTTGAAAAACACACCAGGCATGTATGCATGCATGCCTAAAATGCCAACAGTAGAGTGGAGGAGAAGGAATTGCAGTATGGCCATTCCCCCGGGGGAGATGCTTGCTTTCTCTCTCTCTCTCTCTAGTGAATGCATACAACCTATAGCAAATTTTAAAAAGAAAAAAGTCTCAGTGCCTACTATCAACTACTTCATCCTCTCAATCCAGATGTGTCAAATATTAATTTCACTTTCGCCATCTCCTCTAATACAGCCTCTACAAGCATCTCTCAGTCCAGAGCCATTAGGAACACTGAGTAAAAAAAAAAATCTGCTTCTCCAAACCTCAAGAACACAGATAACAGAGATCAGACAATTCAGGAACAGTAGTCTCCAATAGAGGACTGGAATTCTTTACCAAACTGCTTACTTCAAGAGGAAACTGAGTAATCAAATCCAGCACTAGTGAACAAGGAAAGCAGTGACAAGGAAAGGGAAGGAATCTTCTTACTTTACTTAGAAAACTAAATGAGCAGAGCAGGAGAATATATAATAGTCCAAACAAGGTATCAAGGCTGCAGTGACCTGGGTAAGATACACTGAACAAACCCTACCACTATGCCTCAGGCCCTCCTTGGGCAGCGAACTACGGCAGCTTGAATGGCAAGAACTCCCAAAGTATGTGTAACATGTCTTCCCATGAAAGCCCCTGGGTTCTCTGACGACCAAGCCACCACCGAAGTCACAGACCCTCACACCTTCACATCCCTGCAGATAGGCCCAGCTGTCAGAAAGGGCCTCACATCAGACAGGCTAAGCCTGCACCTGGCAGTTGGACAGCCTGAACTGGTTTGAGTTCTCTACCCAGGAAACAAAAGCAGCACCTGCAACACAGGACCATAATAAGGACTAAGTAAGGAAATACCTCTGAAATGTCTGTCGGAGGAAGTAAAGAATAAAAGGTAGCTAGTATTAAGGTGTTTCAGCTAAAGAGGGACAACCCACAAAGGTCATAGGTATGGTTGGTTTTATCTTATAGTTTCTATATGCATGTTTTATAGCTGAATCAATCATGCTGGCCTGGCATAAGGCTTGACCATTTTCTCCATGAACCTTTTGAGGAAGAAGAAAGGTCAGTGGAGGCCATAAAAGAATTCAAATTCCAGACCTCCCACAAGCCACCTGGATGATGAGCTAGCAGGAGACAAGTGCAGGTTCTGCCCGTGACAGTGTCAGACTCTGTCCCTGGGTCTAAAGTCTCGCAATGCTACAGTGATTTATGAATAAAAAAGCCCTGGTACCAGCAGTTTGCATAATGGCTATGTCGCTGGACTCCCATATAGACTAAGGTTCGAGTCTTGGGTGCGTGTGCGTGCGTGCCCAAGATCCTGATAGGAGAATGGAGGAGAAGGGATTTTGGCATGGCCATCCTCCCTGGGGGGTGATTTCTTGCTTTCTGTCTCTGTCTGTGTGGCGAGTGCACGCGCCCTGTAGCAAAAACCTCACAAAAAAGAAAAAAAAAAGCCCTTGGCCCAACCAGGCTTGGAAGCAGCTGTCCATGCCTCCTGTCTGCTAACCCACCTTACACTAAGGCCTATGATCAGACCTGCCGACCACAGAGAACTCAGCCAGCCATCCCCCACCTATAAAGACCCACAGGAGCATGAGCAAGGCTTCGCTATGGGAAGAGGGCAGCTCCCAGGGAAAGGAGTCCACTTCGTGCTTAGAGGTTTCCGTATACCCAGCTCAGCCACTCAAGGAAAAGCATGAAGTCATGAAATGGCACTTAAAAAGTCCTGGTGATAACACAGAAAAGTGCCCAAACTAACAAAAAAGATACCATCATAACTATGTAAAGAGACTCATAGGAAAATAACATATGCAAGCAGAAACCACTATTAACATTTTCATTTGTCTGAATGATACAAACTGGACAGGTTTGTGTTTTATTCAACTGTCCTGTAGTTATATATATTTATTTATAACCTTACCTTGTTCCAAAAATTTTTTGTAGCAGCTTGGTTTGAATATTTAATTTAAAATACTTTATTTTTCTTTATTTTATTTTTGTAATTTGCCTGAGGGCACATGCACTTGCTGGAGAAAAACAGAGAGAGAGAGAGAGAGAGAGAGAGAAAGTGAGAAAGCACCCCCACCCCCAGGGGAATCCCACATTGCACAATCCCTTCTCCATTTCTCCCTCCTTTCGGGATTTGGGCAGACATGCCCAACATGTTTTTCAAGGCACCGGGTCCAAGACTTGATTGCACAGTTGGCCATCTGGGATCCGTTCACCTTTACCACCATGCTGGCTACCCTTACAAATACTTTTCCATGACAGGGTCTCACCATGTCACAATCTTCCTACCTCAGCCTCCGAGCTCTATCAGACAGGGTCCTGCTATGTCACCTACGCCGGCCTCGAGCTCACAATTTTCCAGCCTCAGTCCCCCAGGCCACTGGGATTCAGGCCCACTCACCATGCCCAGCCCTCGGGTTGGGCAGGGAACTAAACACAGGCCTCCAGGTGGTCCCAACATGTCTTAGAAACATGCATCACCACGGCTGGGCCTCAGAGGAAGAGCTTTTTCAAATGCAGCCTGACTGCAGCCACAGCTGCCCAGGAGAAACAACTCACCCCCCTTCGCTCTCAGCATCTGTGAACGTGGTTCCCGAGGAGGCTGTGAAGTAGACAGAGCTAGAGCCAGTAGAGTCACTCCTCTCTCGGGTAAATGGGAACCTTCGCCGCCGAGCTGCTCTCTGGTTCTCTTCCATGTGGGATCTGAAAAGCAGGCTCCATTCCAGAGGGTACCATTTAGGGCCCAACCAGCTAGTCTTTCCCCTCACCATGGGGAAGACTCTTACTACTGTGCCTCATTAACGGGTCAAGTGCAGAGAAAACCCTGGGTCACAACCCTCAGGAGAGAAAAAGGGCAGCTCCCTGGGCCCAGCCTGCACTGTAGATGAGGCAGGTTGGGCCGAACAAACTCCAGCTGCGACAACAGACCATGAGGGCCCAAGAGCAACAAGGAGCTTGTGCAAGGCACCAAATGCACAGCTTCCCTCCAAATTAGAAGCTATCAAACTGGCTTCTTGCTTAGAAACAGACAACAAAGGCCCAAATACATGTCTATGGAAAAGGGCGTAGGGGCAGGAAAAGTCGAGAGGTAGGGACAAAGCAGGAGACGAGCAGCATTACTCACCGGACCTCCCCCACGATCTCCCCAGCAAGCCTTTGTAGGCTGCTCCTCAGCTCTTCCACCTCCCGCCGCAGTGCCACAAGACTGGTCAGCACAAAGTCCAGGCGGTCCAGTACCTTCTCCTGCCCTTCCTGTGGGAGGCTGGGCAGCACCGCAGCATCTCCAGCCTCCCCAGGGACAGTGCGCAATAGCATCACTGAAGGAAGGGGGACAGGAGACACAGAACATAGTGAGGAAATTATCTCATACCTGGAATTCAAGAACACTTGTTTCTCATTAAAGTTCAATCTACAGAGTATACCCTGGAGGCTCGGATAGCATCTGTTCCAGTCCCAGGTAACCGTAGAACAAAACTAAGGCAAGGCCCCAACTGCTAAACAAGAACTCTGCTCTAAGAACCTTCCACACCAGGACGCTTCAGCAATGCTGCACACAATGGCAGATAATGGAAATGTTTATAAGAGTGCAGGACCTAGAAGGCAGGACAGCTGCCTTGCTAGAGTAAATGACAAGCCTTTGCACCAGCCCTATGGCCTAGTGGTTAAGGAAGTTAGATCCCACATGGCCAACTGCATGGTTTGAATCCTGGACCTGGCAGTTTGAAAACATGCCAAGCAGGGCCAGCAGGTGGCATAGTGGTTAAAGTACATGGCCAACTGTGGTTCGAATCCTAGACCTGGTGACTTGCATTCTCACTTTCTCTCTTTCTCTGTCTCTCTCTGGTGAACACACGTACCCTATAGGGAAGGAAGGAAGGGAGGAAGGAAGGAAGGGAGGAAGGGAGGAAGGGAGGAAGGAAGGAAGGGAGGAAGGAAGAGAGGAAGGGAGGGAGGGAGGGAGGGAGGGAGGGAGGGAGGAAGGAAAGAAAGAAAGAAAGAAAGAAAGAAAGAAAGAAAGAAAGAAAGAAAGAAAGAAAGAAAGAAAGAAAGAAAGAAAGAAAGAAAGAAATATGCCAGGCATATGTGTGTACTCAAAATCCCAACAGGATGGAGAAACAGGGATTACAGTGTGACCACATCCCATTGAGGGGTGATTTCTCCCTCTCCCCCGTCAGTCTGTCTGTCTGTCTCTGGCGAGCACACATACCCTTTGCAAATGAAGGGAAAAAAAGAAAAAGAAAAACCTTTATCATACCACATAGTACCAAATACCAGGCAGTTAATAATACCAACCCACAGCTCAAAGTGAGCTCAAATTCTGATCTCTGACTTCACAAAGAATAAAATTATGGGAGCCAGCAGGCGGCATGGTGGTTAAGCCACTGGACTCACACATGGCTGATTGTGGTTCAAGTCCTGGACCTGGAGGCTCACTTTCTCTTTCTGTTTCTCTCTGGTCAAAACTGAAAATAATAATGATGAATAAAATTAAATTAATAAAGAAAACTACGTGCTTCACTTCCAAGAACTTCACTTAGTTGCTGGCCCCATGTCCTAATGATTAAGAGAACCAGACCCCACATGGCTGACGTTGGGGTTCAAGTCCTGACCCTGGCTTGTAAAACACCTGGGCATGTGTGCATGTGTGCCCAAAATTCCGACTGTTGGAAGAAATGGAGAAGCAACTGTGGCATGACCATGGCCCACTGGGGCAAGGGTGCTCTCTCCCTCTGGCAAGCACACACACCCTCTGGCATAAAATAAATAAATTACAAATAAACAAAATAAAGAGAAGGGAAGACAAGCATATCTCGTACAGATTGTGCCTGAATTGATTTTTCAACTTTATGATGTACTTTTAGTTGTGTACCTTTATGGTGATTACCTTACAACCATTCTGTTTTTCACTTTTAGTACAGTATTCAACAAATTAAACTCTTCCAAAACTAACTTTTCCAATGCACTGACAATGGTAATCAGAGAACACACTCATTTCCAATGAACAAGGGTGAGAATCTAAATGCTCCTCTCACACAAAGATGGGGGCGTGGTTTGAACTAGCCCTCACTACTTTGTTCAAACTTAAAAGCACCATCCATTTCAGCTGTGGCTGGCTTCCAGCCACATTCAGCTTCAGTTGCATGCATTGTGCTCCCAACCCCATGCTGTAAAGTCCACTTAGACTCAGCCTTGTGGCTGACTTGACAACCTCAGGAAAATTACACAATTTTTTAAAATCCTGATTTCCAAATAAGGATAAAAAGAAACTTGGATTAGTCTCCAATTTCACTTCAAATTTAATTCCAACAAGATTAGTCATTCCTTTTGCCCTTTATTTTTGGACTCTCTCTACTTACTGCACACCTCACCTAATACTAAGTAAGTGCCTCTAATACACATAGCACTATTGTGACCAGAATTAAAAGTGAAAGCTAATCGTTTTTTCACAATACATGAATATAGGGGATTTTTTTTTAAAAATGAAGACTGCTTTCATTTTCAATGAGCTTTCTAAAGACAATGAAACCCTCAGCCACCCCGTCTGTTGCCCTGTCCCACAGGCTCTGCCAAAGACACCCTGGACCCCAGGTGACCACGGTCTCAAAGGAACGACTCCTACCCTGGCGTCCGGACTCTGAAGTCTGCGTGTAGTCCAGGGAGTTGGGCAGGCTCTGGCTTGGGCCATGGCGCCGGGTCCGTTTCCATCGCTGGCTGTAAAGGACGCACAGGAATCCAAGGCCAGCGGCGGTGCCCAGCAACAGTCCCAGCCCCGCGCGGGCGCCGCCCAGAGCCCCCAGTCTAGACATGCTGCACCTGCAGCCCGCGTAAGCCACCGGGGGCGGGCGCGAGGAGGAAGGGGGAGAGGGATTCATAAGCCTGGTCCATTCACCCACAGGGGCGAACCCAGGAGATAGGCCCTTGCCCAGGCCCTGGGCTCCGGACTACCCAAGCCCCAACCCGGACCCGAAGGCTCCGTCAATCCCCTGCGCATGACCACCGCGCCTCTCGCTCAGCCTGGACGTACCTCCCCTCCAACACACTCCCTGACCCAGACCCCGGAATCCAGCTCTGGGCCTTCGACCCCCACCCCGGCCTCAAACACTGGCAGAAAATTCCTGGCTTCCCTCGCGCCCCCAAAAGGGCTCTGGCCTACAAGGGAACCAGCAGAACCCCAACCCAGCCGCTAGCCACCATAGCAGCAGCCACCAGGGCCTCACGCTGTCAATGATCGTGACGTCATGAAACAGCGCCATCAACTCCGCGCACCTTGGGAAGCGCGGTGAGATGACGACACGAGGTTCCGCCTCCTGCTCGGATTTTCATCGGGGGCGGGGCCCGCGGCCGCCGCCAGAGGGCGGAGTCAGCAAATAGCGGGAAAAGGTAACCGCGCCGGGGAAGGAGGGCGCGGAGACTGGGAAAGCTGGGGGACTTGCGGGGCCGGACGTCGGGCGCGCGGGGTTCCATTCCCCGCCGGTCACAGCGCTTACTGCTGCCCTCAGATAATGCTCAGTCCACTCCCTCTCACTACCTGCGCTCCGGCCTAAACGACCCTTTTTCTAACCGGAAAATGCCGCCCACTCCCCAGACAGCTCAGACCTCACTTCGGCTTAATTTACTGGTTTTTTGTTTGTTTGTTTGTTTGTTTTTTATCATTTGCTAAGCCCTAGACAGCAGCGCCTTTGGCAGATCAAATCAGAGCAGGAATAAGGTTGGTTATCCACAAGAGGTCTCCGAGTCGCCGGGGCTGCCCGCCAGTCACGACTTACCGGGGCCAGAAGGTGGCGCAGGCGGTCAACCGTGCGGCTCTGCGACGCGGGCGCCCGGGGTAGCGGGTTTTCCCTGCCCTGAGCCCTGAGGGCGCCGGGGCGATGCGGCTGGGCGGGCCAAGCTGGGGGTGGGAAGTGGCAAAGAGACTGTTGGGGTGCTCTCTCACACCGTCTTTCTCCCTCACGGAAACAAAAAGAAACTTTTTTTAAAAGGCCTCAAAATAGCAGGTGATGTAGACAAGGTGCTGAATCCCACTTCGCTGATTCTCTGGGTCAAGTCCTAGACCCCAGCGACTTGAAAATCACTCCAGGCAAGTGTGCGGCAGTGCCCGAAATCCAGGAGAAGAAATTGTGGCGTGACATGGGGGGTGGGGGCCGTGAGATTTCTCTTTTCCCCTGCAAGCACACACGTCCTATATCCAAAACTTTCTTACAAACAGAAGACTCCAGGCAGCTGTGTATGTGTGGCCAAATCCAACAGAATGGAGAAGGGGCTGCAGCATGGCCATCCCCCACGGGTGATTTCTCTGTCTCTGTCTCTGTCTCTGTCTCTCTCACACGCACACATCCATACTACATCAAGAACTTTTTTAAAAAGCCTCTGGGACCCGCGTTCGCACAATGGCTACGTGGCTGGACTCGCATGTAATCGATTGCAGTTGGAGTCCCAGACCCAGTGGCTTAAACTCAACGCCGGACACGTGTGCGTGTGTGCCCAAGATCCCGAGAGGAGAATGGAGGAGAAGGGATTGCGGCGTGGCCATCCCCCCTGGGGGGGTGATGTCTCACTTTCTGTCTCTGGCGAGTGCATGCATCTTGTAGCAAAAATCTCTCTTAAAAAACAAGAACAAAAACAAAAACAAAAAGACATTATTAGTTCCTCTGCCACAAATGGTAAGAATGAAGAATGCCTATCAGAACAGTAGTAGGTACTTAACGCTTTGGCTGTGATCTGGCAGAAGGGGGTTGGGACGGTACATCTCGGGTCAGCACTGGTGCTCCCGAGAGGAGAATGGAGGAGAAGGGATTGCGGCGTGGCCATCCCCCCTGGGGGGTGATTTCTCGCTTTCTGTCTCTCTGTCTCTCTCTGTCTTTCTGGAGAGTGCACGCGCCCTATAGCAAATAAAAAAAGAAAACTCTCCCAAAAAAAAGAAAAAATATAGAGAGGTGTATGAGCACTAAGATTATTTTTAAACCTAACCATTTTTTTAAGAATTATTTTATTTAACTTTATTTCTTCTCTTTTTTTTTGGAGAGATTTTCGCTATAGGGCGCGTGCGATCACCAGACAGACAGAGAGAGACATAGAGACAGAAAGCGAGAAATCACCCCCCAGGGGGGAT